AAAATGAAATGATTTACAGAGGAATTAAGCCAACTCTAATTTGTAGGAAAAGATCTATCAATATGCCTCTGACTAGGTCAGCTTTTACTTCGAGACTTTTGGGGGGACAAGCTCACAGTGTCACCAGCCTCCTCTCCCCAAAACAAGAAACAAATTAACAAGAGAAATTTCTTGATAAAAGGAGAAAATAAGGATCCCGCAACATATAGATAGATGCTGCCAAAGGGAAAATATCATTTAAAATAGGAGAATGGTATCTGATGAGATGTCCCACGGCATCAGCCTTTCGGTGGGGATGGGGGATGCTTTCTGGCACCCAGCCTGGATGGGCTCAGCTGCCTTTAAGACTGATGGAGAAGCCACAAGGGATGCCAACTGTTGTACATGCACTCACGCGAAGCAGAAGTCTTCTTGCCCTCATCACGCTCTTGCTGCGAGGCTCTAATGGCTGGTGTGCTTCAACGGCTGTAGCTGTGGGAGGTCTCTGGTACTCCGGGCACCATGTTGTAGCACTCTACCCTCTTCCCGCAGATGAAGTAGGTCATTTCTTCCTTTCCCAAAAGCTAAACCACTGTGCCTGCGCTACCAGCTGAGGCTACATCACACCTGATGAGCCACCTTCCTGGTCAGGCTCAACAGTCCCTGGCGACTCATGGCAGCAGGACAGCGGCATCGCCCATGGAGGCCACTCCAGGGAAACATGGGAGGTTCTCAGGATGGTACTCGTTCATAGTGTGGTAACAGGCCAGGAAAGGCTTTCTCACCAGTATTGTACAAGATCTTGCCAACAGAGTATCTTAGATCTGCTCTGGAGATGGACAACTCAAGGCAGGGGGTAAAGGCACTTGCCTAAAGCACTTGGGAATTCTTGGCCTGAGCTGAGTGTTGACTTGGAGCCAATGCTGTATCCACCAAACCATTTCTTACTCAACCACTTGGACTGTGGGGGTGTAAACACAATATTCTTCCCTACAGGAGGTTTCCTAGGGCTTATCTTGCTCTAAGTGTCTCTGAGTGGTTCTTAACATGCTAAAATGTCATAACTGAAAAAAATAGATTATGAAGCCCAAGTTATGTACCTTGGCAATAGCCCAGCTCACTAATCTAATGATGGTACTTCCACTGACTCGAGGTGGGCCTGGACTTCATCTCTCCTTTGCACAGCTAAGAAACTGGAACAAACACTAGATCTCAGTGAGAGTTGTGTGTTGGTCAGGATCACTTGTAACACACTGCAGTTGGACTCACACTGTGCAAAACAAGATGTCTGGAGCCATGTCAGATCCTTACACGTGCCGTCCACCCCAAAGCCTGGAAGAGCTGCTACTGCATTTAAGGAGGTTTAGCTCAGCCAAGTCCTCTGATTGCTAAAAGGACATTCACTTAGACAAGAGAGGTAGCCCAATGGTATCTGCACGGTTGACTTATGACCCCTTCAGCAATATCGAAACCCCATGAGAGGTTACAACACAGAATTGCAGGACAATTAGTAGCGTCCTTGTTTGGGACCCCAGACTTGGGTGTGGATTATATTTACTGATTCACAAGGGGATACACCTTCTTCCCAGAAGTGGAGTTGCCTGTCCCTGGGCAATTAGCTACAGATATGTGGAAAGGGAGTCTCCGACTTTCTTAAATATAGGTTACTTCTATGCCTCACATGGCCACACGTGCTCCTTAAGTGCCTAACACGTGAGTTTGCGCCTTCTGTTTTGTGAAACAACAGCACAAAGCAGAAAACTAGGGGAAAAAAACCCAAATTTCATTTCCATCCTTATGTACTTTCATTACATATTAATAAGAAAAGAAACAGCCACCAAGAGATACTATTTGTAGTCGAAGTTACAATGAATGGAAAGTTCTCCAGGGTCAGCATGTCCCTGTGTGGGCAAAAACACAGCAATGTCACTTGAGGTCTTCTAAACAGTCACTCAGAATTCCAGTTTCCTGCTCTCGCTATATGTGTTCTCCACATTTCTTTCCGTCTATATTTCCCCTTGAAACAAAGGCAAAGTGCTTCAGTAATCTGGAATCTACTGAACAGATACGTGGCATTTTATAGAATAGCAAGCAAAGCTAGATCTGAAAGACCACAGAGGCTGTGGGACATTGTGGATACTACAACCAGCTTACTGACTTCTTGCACAGTGAGTAGGCTGGAGGTAAATTGCACCAACATTTCCAAGTAATTAATATGTCTGCTTTGCATTTAGAGATTGCTCTCTCCATTCCAGCACTGGGTGCACGTTGTCATGCACGATGGGAGGAAGAGGGACATCAGGGGTGCCAGTCCTGTAAGAGAAGCTGGGTGCCTTGCCCTGTTATTACCTGGCTGTAATAATAGCTGCAGACAACTCCACCTTAATGACACAGGTAGGGCCTCATGCACCTCTGAATGTTGATGGCCAGGACACAGCTCTCCTACCAGCACTCCCAGTGCCTATAAAATCCATCAAGAGCTGAGCTGGGTGTGAGGACAAGGTCTTCCCGCTCCTGAGGCAGGAATCATGCTGTCTCCATCTCCCCTGGAAGCTCGCCAGCGGCTCCGCTGGGATGCATCACGTGGAGCAGGGAAAGAAAAACCAGGTGAGATGCTGATTTTCACTGCACACACAGGTTGGGGTGGAGGAGCAGCACAGCTGTTTAACAATTATTTAAGCCTAGGACACCAAGCCTAAAAGACCAATGAAGCCTGGAACCGGCCTCTGGCGGTGGAAGTAGCTTGCCTTGCTTCTGTTTTAATGACAAGAGTTTAGCTCCCAAGGCCTTAATATCGTTCATTTCTCATAATACGTTTGAAAAGGAGAATCAAAACACTCATAATGAAGGGAAAGGGAGAACAACAGTGGCTTCCAGTAGTGAATACCCCAGACCGTTACAGACTAGACTTCCCCAAGGCCTCTTCTAGGGCTGCATGAGCAGTTTATGAGCCCGTCCTTGCTCTGCTGCCTCTGGATGATTTTCTTTAGTTTATGCTGGGTATCAGCAATGCCTCCCCTCAATATTTCTTAGCCGGACCAACAAGCTGACCACACGCACTCCAGGCTGCAGATGTACTAAAACTAGCATAAAGCGAGGGCCATGCTGCTCCTTGCAGGGCAGTGTGACCTAAGTAAGTCACCCTCACAATTGCACTCTTATTTTCTCTCCCTCTGCCATTTTAAACATTAGCTCAGCCCCAAAGTGTTTTGTTCAGAAGCAGACTGGAGCTTTCCAAGCCATGAGGAGCATGGTGGCTCCTGGGGACTGCAGTGCAGCGCAGTGACACTGTCACCTCCAGCAAGTGACCTGGGAGATGCAGAACAGGGTTTCTGACTGTAAATCAAGTCACATACCAGGCACACGGTTACTCCTCTAATAGCAGATTCATACCATAGGTAAGACTTCACATTAGTGTCTTTTGGTTTAAATAGAAAGGCTCTGGTCTTCTGAACTTCAGAGAGGCAGGCAAGAACAGTAGACCGTACCACGGTAAAAAACCCAAATCAAACAAACAAAAAGACCTGTGTGGAGTATGCTAGAACTAACTAGAAATGCCAACAGTGTAAGGACTCGGATACCTTCCACTGACAATTTTAAAACATCTGGTTTTCCTCCTGTTGAGCAAAGTCAAAACACAGAAATCCTCTGCAAAAAGACTGGTGATTCTGACCCAGCTCTGTACAATATACCTGTATCTCAGCCACCTTTTACTCCACAGGGCAATTTTCAGTCATCTAAAGCTTACACAGACTTATGTGCAACAACTGGGCACTGCCTTGTAACAAATACAGATATTTCTAGTTGTTACCAGTGATGGGCAAAATGCTCTTTGAAAATACAAACACGCTCCTGAGAATAATGCAGCTCTAGTGGTAAGGACTATTCAATCTCCAGAGTGTCAGCTGGGTCAAAAGCCTTCCTTTAGTACACATCCCCTTTGCAAAGCTGGATTTATTTACGCCAACACAATTAAAATAAAAGAGAGCCTTCAGGTTAGTAGCTGAGGTGGTGCATCTCAATACACTTCTCCCTAGGTTTTTTTTTTCCCTCCAGGAGGAAGACCAGCTTTCTTCTGTGGAACGTTCATAATGCAGCCTGGCTAACAGCATCCCGGAGATCTCCTAGGACACAGATATCCCCGTTCTCCAAAGCCCTGCCTGTCATCTCTACAAAATCGCTTGTCTCTCTGAACTTTGTCCTTGCCTGTTTCAGTAGGAAGCTCTTTCAGCCTTGGTACAATGTATACAAATGCTTGGTGTGGTCACTATCCACAGAAAAAAACCAGTCCTGCAAGATATTAATTGAGGAGAACCAGATACATAACTCGTTATGATTTTAAGCTCCTTTAGGTTCTCTCAACAAGGCATGTCTCGGTCACCCCACTAGAACCAGTGGCTTCACACTAGAGAAAGAGTAGCGTAATGTATCATAATTTGGGTCCATCTATCTGCATCAGCCTTGTCTGTGATACATGTATATTCACGCAACCAGTTTTGCCATTCTCCTTCAGTACCTTTATAGAAATGCAACTTCCCACTCTGCTAGGAGAAAAAACAAACGTCTTTTCTGATCTTCTAGATAATTCAAAGCACTAGTGGTGCAACAACATTTGCTCCAGTGACTTATAACACAAGCTTGACTAGCAGCTCAGCACGTATTGCCAGGGCAAGGGATGTTTTTAATATAGAAAGTTGCTATGTTTATCGGCAGTTGACATGCATGCATTATTGTTTCATTGAAAGAGGTCCCAGGTGGGAAACAGCGACTGAGGGTGGCTACGTGAGCCTCCAGCTCAGCAGGTGCTTGTTCCTCAGCTTCCTCCACGGCCCTTACCACAAAGGCAGCCCAAACTCCAGTTCAATGCTTGCCAAACCAGAACTGGTGCTTTGTGTGACTCACACTTAATTGGCACATATGTGCATGTGCGATACAGACACACCAGCTCCCCTTTCAGCAAGGTATTTCAAAACAGGCACATGTTCTTGGAAAAAAAAAATCACAAGGATGATTGTCTCTACCTCCATGCTAGTATTGGGGTCAAGGTCATCACACTCTGATTCCTCTGAGCTGTTTGTCTCCTTGTTTGGCAGCATGAAGAGGAAGAAAGAGAACAAGAGATTAGAAGAGAGATTGGTTAGACAGGGCAGAGCAGCACAGGAGTTGTGAGCAGCATGGAAATGGGTAACAGTACAGAAAATGCTCTTAAAAAAAAAACCAAACAAAAACCAAACCGACAACAAAACCAAGGAAGCAAAGGCAAAGACATGCTTTTGCCAAAGAAGAAGCAGTGATTCTGCAAGTCGTTCAGATATTAAAAACAGGGAGGAAGCAACAGGAGGAAGAACCGTGGCCACCATGCTGGAGCAACCGCTTCCCTCGAGCCCAGTCCTTCCCTGGCTGACGGCAGGGCTGCAGGGTGGCTGTGCAGTGGGTGCCAGGGGCACCCGGGTTGCAGTGGCAGGGTTCCTCCCTTTGCACATGCCATGGCTACTTCACTAGGCTTACAAGATTGAAAGCCTCCGCAAAGGAAAACACTTAATCATGGGCTCTCCTGGAGAGGGTGGATCCAAAGGACATGCTCAAGTGCTTTCCTGAATCAAGGCTAGGCTTTGGTTGTGTCAAAATCACAACAAGTGTTTGCTTGCCTCTGTTGGGAGGGAAAGCCCCAGATTAATCCTGAGCAGGCCTCATGGTCGGTTTATAGGGATGGATCCTCTGAATTGGAGCACAGTAGTCAGGCACCCACAGCAGGAGATGGAGATTAACCCCACAGTTCTCAACCTTTTCCATACTGGGAGATCTCAGAGAGAGAGAGACAGACACAGACACACACATACACACACACACACAGACACACACGAGACCCCGCTCCTGGCAAGACAGAGTCAGCATCTCTGCCCTGTCTGATAATATGGAAAGAAAAAGGTCATTGAGACCACCTCACCAGACCAAAAATCTTAAGCATCTCAAGGTTGAGAAGCCCTTATCTTAAGATGTGGTGTGAAATATTGGCTGAAAGAAAACTTAGCAACTTCAGTAAGGCCATTGGTTCACCCAGTGGCTTTCTCACTGCTACAGCTGCTCTGACGGAGCTGCAGATTGGGCTAGGTCAGAGGTCAGTAAACCACTATTGTCTCAATTTTAGGAACAGTAATTTAACCATATACACAGTTGTTTTTTTAATGAAGATTACTTACTTGGAAGTGGGATGCCAGGAAAAAGAAAATGAAAAACAAAGGCTGCATTTTATCTTGCATGCAAAAATCCTGCTAAAATGGATACTACAAAAAAAGAAAAAAAAAGATAACTAAAGTGGAAAAAAACCACAAAAACCAAAAAACAAACCCAAAATCACCGCCCCCTCCCTCTCTCAGGAGAGGATGCTATAGGGGGTGAAAAGGATGGGAAGCAGGAGAGCAGCACACAGCTTTCAGATGGCCTTACTCACTTTAACAGAGACTTTGTTCCCCAGAATATCCTTGGATTTACGTGGCCCATTGGCTTCATTTTTGCCACTGCTCTCCTTTTCCGCCCGCTTTCTCATGCGCAGGGTATGCCATGAACATGACTTCCTGTTGTACCAAAAAACGCAGCAATCAAACGGCAAATCATAGCAGGAAGAAAGGATTTGGAAAGGGGAACCAGCATCCACATTTGCGATTACTGCAATTCCCTAGAAGGTGAAAGCCACCAGCAATATGCCTATCTCAATCTCAGCAATGAGAGTTGAAGTTAAAAACCAACCAAACCAAACAGTTCTGCGAAGCAGATGTTGTGCCACACTTGTTGTTTAAATGCATGGAGCAGGAAAAAAATGTCCATGATGGAAGCAGGCAACTAGAACTTGGTCATCTGGTTTCATGGACTTTGTCTTGCATTGCCACAAATAGAAATCTGTTTTATTTTTACTGCAGTTAAAAGGCCAATTTGGCCCTCAATCTTGTCAGTTAGGAGGAGTGAAACAAATGTAAATACATGAGAATGGTCTTAATAGACTACTGAGTAGAACAAATAAAAAAAAATTAAGAAATTCAAGGTGTTTCTTGCTACATGTTGCTCAGAACATAAAGAGCTCAACAAATAGGAGCTACATCATTAGATTTCCAAGAGATAAGTCATTTCCTAAAATGACAAGCTCTGCTGTGCCTCTCAAGACCAAGAATTTCCCATTTGATTTTGCCAGTCCAGTTAGGGAGGACATCAGTCAGTCTACGGTTTTTGGCTAGCATCACAGCAGGCACGATTTCCAGTACATATTTCACCCCTCATTACTGCTCCTTTGAGCTTAACACTTGGAAAAAACCCAATAATAGACCATCTCACCCTTTGTAAGAGCAATGCTGTGTTGACAACAGAAATTGCATATCAAAGCAGACATAAAAATTAAGAAAAAAACAAAACACTTCTTAGTATGGATTTAATTTGATTTAAATAGTGGACAGGTTGGGGGGGATTTGGGAAAGGGTATGTTGTCCAAAGCAGAAAGCTCTCAAAACAGCAGTGTGATGAGTTGGGATCCAGGTTCAAAGCATCTGCCCACCTTTAAGTCATGCAAATTTAATTTGCATGTTTAAGCCCAATGTTTGGCACATGTCACGTCTACAGTACCTTGACACATTTTACAAAGCAAGTTGCATGTAATCCAACGATCACCTGCGATGCCAATAAAACGCAGTATGTTAGCAAGGTAGGACTCCAAGGATGCCCCACACAGCCGACGCTCCCCCATGAACGCTGTGCCTGATTCCTAAGCATTTTTTTGGTTACATTTCAGGACCTGATGGGAGCTGTACAATAGTTCAAATTAAAAAAAAAAACAAACGTAAACTACCAGCCTTCTAACAGCTGGCTGCCACTGACACAAGACTGAACTGGGTCATATCGACTGGTTTTGCAACCAGGATTAGTGTCCCCACTGCGAACAGCTGGCACGGGCAGTCGTCTTTGAGCACAAGGAGCACCAGAGCACCCTGCACATCTCAGCCAGACAGTAAGTGCTGTCTGGTATTTGGGCATTTCTGGAGGAGGTTCAAATTAGTTGTGCAGAGCAGGGGAAGTTATCCAACACTTCAGGAGTGTTACATTTCCCTTTAAGATACGGTAAGAGTTAAGGACATGGCTGATGAACTCCTTGACCTATTGCTGAATAATAAATACATGGTCCCAACACTACTGTATTGATAACATATTTTGTGTAGAGTATTTGTCAACCGAAGAAACAGTTTTATTACTTATATCAATTAGTCAATATGATCTGGCAGACTAGACAGAGCTGAAGATTAACACCAGCTCCGGGTTGTTTTTTACCCATAGGACTTCTATTATTCAAGCATCTTTTTGGTTTCAGGGTTGTTTTAGCCGTTTGACTCTGAAAACATGATTTAAGACTTTAAATCTCACTGCAGTGAGAAAGAGAGAAGTGCAATGCATGTGTCTTTCAATTTTGTTACGCCTTCCTGGCCACAATTCATTCGACTACATAATTTGACGCAGAATTTGACTGTACAGCTGCCATGAAATCAGAGTCTTCACCAGGAGCCTGGTGCCGTGGATGAATCTAAGGGCACGTGGTTGCGTATTGTGGTTAGAGAGGAACCCGGGAATGGCCGTGGTGGATGTGCAAGAGACATGCTAAGCAATCCCTTTGGCTTAACATGCAATTGATAGTAGCATTCATTACTGACTGACAGTTAAAGTCATTTTTTCTCTTAACTGAAACTGCAGCAGAGATCGAATTTTTTTTTAGTGCATCTGTCACAAAATCTTTCCTCGTGTTCAATTCTGCACCTCGAGGCACTTGTGTAAGGTAACACAATTTGTAGCACACATCATGCATTACCATCTAGTCATTTTAGATGTTAAAAGAAATCAACAGGTATTACTGAAAAGAGGGTTGTACCTTCTGTATTTAATACCAAAAAACCACTTTCTTGCATTAGTCATTTCAGACTGACAAATTTCTAAAAATCAGAAAAGAAAAATATATATCCACACATTTGTTAAATAAGCAACAAAATGTTATAAACAAAAAACCAAAACAAAACCAAAAAAGGGTCAAACTAGTTCTTTTACCTCATTAAAACATGCTCATGGTGAAAATTTATTTTACATATTTAAAATAGTACAGTTAAAATTAGTTACATTACAGGTACAATGATGAACATTGTGACTATCCATTATATTGCACAACCTGACTTCAGCAATATGAGTTTTGTTTTTTTTTTTTAAATAGTGCAAAATACTTTATACAGGAATGTACTTGGATGGGGGTCTTGCAAACCAAAAAATATATTACAAAAGTTACTGCAAACAGAAAAAAAAAACAAACAAAAACAAAATAAAAAAAAAGATACAAGCTGTACAAGGAAATTGCCATAGACAACAAAATCTCTCCTCCTTGAGAAGCGAACCTCAGTCCAACACGGGGCCTGGATTTTTTTTGTGGGTTTGTGGGGGTTTTTTTGCTAGATGCTATTATAACCAATATATAGATTAGTAACTTAATACAACATAAATATAAGTCCAGTCCAAGCAGGTCCATGTTGGTGTAAAATGGTGTAATGTAAAACATATCTTTAACTGTCTATGGTTTTATATCTCTCCAAAGTATAAACAAAACCCCACAAAATGAAAATAAGCAAAACCCGAGCTATCCACCCAGGCTGCCCGATGCTGCGGATTGACCACTCAGCTTGTTCCAATGGCACTGTAGATAAAAATCAGAAAACCCTACCATTTGGGTTTGTTTATTTTTTTATTTTTCCTCAAAAAATCCACATAGTGCTCCCAGCGAAGCCAACATGGCACTTACTTGATGCTTCCGTCGCTATTATCTGTAGCGGATTTAGTGAGGGGAGCCAAGATATTGCCAGGGATCCATCCTTCAGCAGCCGGAGAGTGGTCGTTTGCAGGCTGGTACACCAGGAACATGTTCTGCTGGTTGACAGCAAGGATCTGAACCACCTCTCCTTGATTCACACAGATCTCATCTTCCTTCAGTGCATAGTAATCTTTAATCACCACCATGGAAGAGGTCCCATTGCACCCTCCCAAATCAGTCTGTGAAAATGGACACAACACAAACCGGTGAGCAGGCAGCGCTGAGGAACCTGCCTTTCCAGCAGCAATCCCACTACTTCATTTCCAGCCTAACTGTACCAGGGACAAAAGATACAAAACACTGAAAGTTCACATCTGTAGAAAAGGATTTTAAGGATCTGAAAGGTGGCAGTAATCTGATACACACCAGCCTCCTATTTCACATTAGATTTCACAGCTCCTAGTGACCGGGCCCCAGCCATGTTCTCATTTGCATGGTGTTACAAATCAACGATCTGTGCTGAGCCAGATAGGGGGAAAGACCAATGACGGCTCAATGTTAGAAGTCAAATGAATACTCACACATCTCATGATCTTAAATATAGGTCAGTGGCTTTCGTCAACTGCAGCCAGCAGCAGGGTCCAAACCCTGCTGATGGTTACTGACTCTTTGGTGGTTTGTGTGCAGTGCACATGCACCCAAATTATAACCTTCAACTGGCACCCTGTGAGCTGTTACGTGCGAAAAGGTCTAAACTATTCTATACCATCAGAGTAGACTTCTTCAGGGATGGGTGGTTAATGGATATTCGAGAAGACTGAATACTGCTGCTGCCAGTACTGCAAATAGATGTTCAGTT